CTGTTCTCAGTTATTAATTGTAAACTGGAAGTTTAAAATGATACAAAACCTTTACCCACAGTTTCCTTTTTTCCCATGGTGTTTTATCACAGCAATAGAAAACTAACAAAGCTAGGAAATCTTAGTTTGGGTCTTTAGGATTCAATGATTCTAAGGGTAATTTTTTCTATTATAAGAGCAATTTTGAATTTTTAAAAAAATTGTAGGTTTCCTTTAAATAAAGCAGCTCTATTAACTTCCAATATACATAAACTTTTGTGTGTGTATGGAGATCTGCCTCTATAAACGACATCCCATTTCAAGCAGAAAGCAATTGCTTCTCACTTTTAAAGTGAATTTGTGTTCTTGTGCATTCAATCTCTCTGTCCTGACACAGGCCCAGCCAATCAGCTTTTCTGTCACTGTTGATTAGGATTTTCTGTTGTAGAGTTCCATATAAATGGAATTGCATTTTTGTCCTCTAGGTTTAGCATCTTTTTCATAACACATTGGTGTGTTTGTGTGTGTATGTGTGTGTGTGTGTGTGTGTGTCATTTGGATTTATTGCAGATGCAAGTAATTTGTTGTTTTGCATTGTGGGAAATATAGCTGTAAATTATTTTGTTTAAATAATTTTGTTCTCTAAAAATAATTCAGATTTTCTTCTATAATTTAAGACATTTTAACAATATAAGTGTAAATGTTTCCTTTTCCCCACAAAAAAAGTGCAATAAATGACTAGTTTCTATTGTGATGCTGGTTGGATCCATGAAACTAATCCATATAAGATTGCAATGAGCATTTGATAACAGTACTCTCATAACACAGGTTCTAAACTTTGTCAAAGAAAAATGGAGGGCATTATAGTGGATTCAGTAATATTTTAGCTATGTACTCCTTCAGTGACTATTATCCTAATGACAGCAGTGTTGCTTGCAGAGGACTGGGAGATGAGTACTTCTCCAGGAACTGTTCTTAGAAGAAGGTAACTGTGAACTCTTACATTATGCAACTATCTGCACATTGATTGAGAACAGAACACTCAACAGAAACTGAGAGATGGATGTTAGGAAAGGCTGGTAGCACTTGCCAAATGTGTAGAAGCTGTGATAGTTTTGCATGGTTTGAAATTGTAATTATGGCATCTCAGAACAGTGATAAATATGGACCTTTACTTTCAAAGAGCACTCTTTTCTTTAAAGTGTGTGTATGTGTCACAGAAGTTAAAGGTTGTCTTTTATAAGTAAATGGTGATTGCAGAGTAAACTAAGATCACACAGATTTGGAAAGCAGATGTGGATGAGTAAACTTAGAACTTGTGCTCAGATTGAGTACCACTAATGTAACCAGTGATCAGGAAGCATGCAGTTTGGTTTTGCAAGGGTCTATTTTCTTATTTAGCCATGCTTCTTAGGAAAAAAGTTGCACACAGAGAACACAAAACTTAATTTATGTTCAAATGTTTCCTAATACATCCAGTGTTGGAACAAATTCCTGCTGTTAGATAAGCATCAAGGCAGACCAGGCCGTACTGTTCTGCTTTCCTGATACCTTCCATTTCTGCTTGGTTTAGATGGTCCTTTTGAAAATCATCACCCCAACGTCTTTATACTCCCTACTCTCAACAGAGAACTTTAACTAAGCTTCGGTGGGACAAGATTGCTCATTTTCTTGTCTTTTTTATTTCCTTGTATTTCTTCCTTCTTTCATTCCTTCATTTGTTCCACCTTCCATTCCTTCCTATCTTTTTATCCCTCCATCCCTCTTTCCTTATCCTCTACTTTTCTCCCCTTCCCCTCTCCCTCCCATCCATTTTACCTTCCTTCCTTCCTTTTCTTTCTTCCTCCCTCGTTTCCTTCTTTATTATTCATTCATTTACTTTCTTCCTCTTTCCTTTCCCCCATTTTTCCACTCCCCATTATCTCCCTTCCTTCTTCCTTTTGTTTTTTCTCTGACCACCGTCTGCTTGTCTGCTTGTGTACAATATTGATGACTGAATTCAGGGCACTGTACACATTTTCACATACACAAAATGTCATTTTGAAATGAACACCACATTGACTATGAATCACATGTAACTATATGTGTATGTAACTATGTAACTATGAATCACTATAACATGTTCTTCTCATCCAACTGAAACATTTCACTCTTTGACTAAGGTATCTTTTTTCTAATAACCATTCTTTTCTCTCCTGACTTTGTTTACATCACTCTGTTCTAGTTTGTTAGCTTTGTTTGATTCTGTATACACACAAACTTCTTCATTATAAACAAACCACATTATAACTGCTTTTCTGGTTCATCATATTTATAATTTCCTCAAAGTTCAATCATGGTGTAGAAAATAGGAATTTTTTCTTTGTAAAGGAAAACTAGAATTCTATTAGCACATGTACCATATTTTCTTTACCCATCTGATCAGTTGGTAAGCATTTTGATGCCTTATGGTTACTATTATAAATAATACTACATTGAATAACAGGATAGAGATGGCATATAAAATACTCCTCTGGAGACTTGCTATACACTGAAAACTTGCCAGATTACATAGAAGTCCCACTTATGTTTTTTTCTGTAGATGTCTTACTAATTTCCTTAACTGTTATATAATTTACATTCATTCCTATAGTGTAAAATCTTGCCAACACTTGATGTCCTCTAACTTTTGTAAAACAGACATTAGAATAACCATGAGATGATATTTCATGATGATTTTAATTTGCACCTCCCCTGATGATTTATAATGCCAAGAAAATTTTCATAAATCTGGTCATATGTAGGTATTAACTTAAAAAATGTCTTTCTAGTTCCTTTCAAGTTTCCTTAATGTGTTTTTTTTTATTTTCATGTTGTTTAGTTTTCTACTTTCTTTAAAGATTTTGGGTATTGGCTTGTAAAATACTTTTGAAATATAGATTTCCCATACTTTCTAGTATCTTTTTCAAAAAGTGAAAATAACTGTTTCAAAAATATTTGACCTCTTTTACCTTCCTCCTGTGTGGCATATATATTTTAAATTGCTGGCCATTCTGAAATCAACATTGCTGAGTTATATCTCTTCCAAAGACATGAGAATTACCATATAAATAATTCTCTTAACAAAATTGTAAATGTTATTTGTAGAAATGTCAGTAAAACTAAAAACCTGTGATTTTAGAGTCTTATTTATCACTATAAACTATATATGGAGCAGGATGAAAGAGATAAGTAAAGGAGGGAATATGGGGAGGAACAACTAACACTGAAGGCTCTTTGAAAAGCCATATGGAAAGCTACCTAAAATATATAAATATATGAAAGGCATTTAAATGAAGAGACTATATGATGAGGGAGACAATGCCCCAACTAGACATCATAAGCCAGTAAGTAGACCTCACATTTATGGATTACGTCTTGTTGAACAGTTTACCAAAATGATCCTAGGATTGTCCAACCCTCCATAGACTGATGGTAAGGCCCTATTTCTGAAAAAATCATGTACTTAAGTCATTGATATGGAGAAAAAAAAGTTGGTACCCAGCTTGACTGACTTATATTCATGGTGATGGGATATACTTTTCACACTACAGGAGGAGAAAAGCAATCACCAATATCACCTGAATTAAAAACCCTGAGACCAACAACAGAGAACTGCCTTCAAGATACAGTGGTGAAAAAAATGGCACAAATGTTGTGGCAATAGCCAGCCAGGCACTTTTGATTTACTTAATGCCCATTGTATGAGATGGAACCATATTTATAAAGTTGCCAAAACCCTGAAATTAACTAGATCATGGGCCCTAAGCAAAAACCTAATACTATTATTTTGCTAATGAAATATATAGGTAAAAGGACTCATATTGCTATGTAAAAAGATCATTGCATCATACAGCACTCATCAGAGAAACAACTTCTTATAGTAGTAGATGGTAATAAACACAGAGACACACAAATGGACGATATCTAGAAAGGTACACAGACCTACGTGGGATATCTTTATCAGCTGTCCCCCTTTCCAGTGCTGGAGTGTCTATGTGGAAAAGAAGGTGGAAGGATACACATCTTCTTCACACAACAGGACTTATACAAATACAAACTCAGAAAGACTGTTCCATTATATGCAAGACACACTGAGAAGAGGAAGTGAACATAAAGTACTATTTGTAAACAAGAAGCTATTTACAACAGACACCTGGTGGAGAAGGGAAAATCAATTTTCTCTAATGGAGTGGCACTGGGTATTTTAAACACAATCTAGAAGAGGCCCTATGCATAGGTGTAGTTGGATGACACAAAAAGGGTTTTCAGAAGTTAGATATGTAGGGAGGTGAGAGGGTTTATGAATTTAGCTGGGGGGAAAGAATGTCATCTGAATAAAGTGTATAAAATATTCTAATTAAAAACTAAAAGGAAATAAAGCCTGGGAAATTCAAAAGAATTTGAATAAAAAATGTATAATATAGGTTTCTCAATAAACTTGCTGTGCAAATGACTCTGTCACCCTCTTTCAAAACTAATGGTTTGCCTTTATACTCATATGATGTATTTTTAAAATATTTATCTCATTGGTGTGTGTGTGTGTGTGTGTGTGTGTGTGTGTGTGTGTGTCGGTGTTTGGGTGTGTGTGGGTGTGTGGGTGTGGGAGAGAGAGAGAGAGAGAGAGAGAGAGAGAGAGAGAGAGAGAGAGAGAGAGAGATGCATGTATGAGCATGTGTGTGCAGTACCCATAGAGTCCAGAAGACAGCATAAGATGGAACTAAAGTTACATGGGGTTGTCCCCAGTACCCTTCCAGGTCTTCTAAACGAGAAGCAGCTAAAAAGTTGTTCATAACTGCTCAGCCACCACTCCAGCTCCTACATACCATTTTCCCATATTAATACTAATTTTCTCAGAAACTTAGTTTTTCTCCAGCACTAGGCTTGTTTCAGAATTTTGTTTCTCCTCGTGAAGACCCCTTGTTTTCTCTTCTTTTCCTCACACGCATTTGGGTTAAGGATAAAGAGGGTCCTAAGCGCCCTGCTTTTGTGTTTTCCTGCAGCGTCTATCCAATGGCTCCATAGACTCCACAGATGATACCAGCCAGATAGTTGAGCTACAAGAATTGCTTGAAAAGCAAAACTATGAAATGGCCCAAATGAAAGAACGTTTAGCAGCTCTTTCTTCCCGAGTGGGAGAAGTGGAACAGGAAGCAGAGACAGCGAGAAAGGACCTCATAAAAACGGAAGAAATGAACACAAAATATCAAAGGGACATCCGGGAGGTAGGTGGCTCATAGCATTCTCTGTTTTGCTCTTTGAATGCCTTCCCACAGCTTACTTTGAGAAGCTCTCTCCATGCACTTCCTTGTTGGCTGGTAGCCTTTACTTCTTGAAGACCATAATTAGAAATGTTATTTTTGTTATATACATGTTCAGTAAGATAGAAATAGTTTACTTATTGGTTCTTTAAATATATATGAATGGAAAGCTTTGCTATCAACTCTCGCTATTCTAAAGTCTTTGTGAAGATTTAATGACATCTAAAGGTTTCACGGTTTTAAATGTGAATAACTGTGCATGTAGGAATGAATCCTTATTTTCTATAATAATATATAGGAGTGCTCAAAAACATTATTTTAACTTGTCTGTTATTTGAGTCGGTGAATGCCTGTGTATGAATATGATATGCATATGTATAATATAACCTTTTTATTTATATTCCTTTCTTGCTAGGCTTAGTATTGCTTTATCCACAAAAAGAAGGAATGAAGAATTGGAAGAAGGAAGGAAGGAAGGGAGTAACTTAAATTTATTAAATGATCCAGAAACAGATTTTTTCATAATGTCTTATTATCTATTAGTATAAGAGTTGAAAATTCTTCTTTTTCTTTTTATCACTCTTAAAAATGCAACTCTTTAATTTTCAGGAAATTTTGTTGTTTGACATTTTTCCTTTTTCATTTTTACATTTTCTTGGGAAGCATTTCTTAATATCTCCAAGTATGTTTCTATGTGGCTAACTAGTTAGGATACCTGTCTCTATTAGTTGTCTCCAACTTTGATTTTCTCTTTTCTTGAAGCTGTATTATCACTTGCCCCCATTGTCCCATTAAGAGTATTTGTAATAAAGCATCTCCTTGATGATGTTACAGAATGAAGGGACAGATTCTCAGTCCTTTGAATAGCTAGTTCACATCCTCTCTTCTTTCCTTGGAGCATGTGTTTTTCTCTGGGCTAGTAGTATTCCAAACTGTCCTGGATGTCCTCCAGGTTACTTCTTGCCCTCATCTCAGCTGTTTCACCGGTTAGCTTCCTTGCCCTGCTTTGGTATGTCCTCCCCTTTCAAGCTTCCATTGCTTTGCTTACACTAATAAAGGTTAATGAGCTACACACAAATCAACCATAGGCTCCCAGGTGTGTTCTCTTCCTCCATTTTCTCTCTTTTCTTCTCCTGTTCCCAGTGATTATACCTAAACTAGTAAAAGATATCTCAGCAACATAAACTTGACATTTGTTTCCTTCTCATTCGCCAATAAAACTTACCGCCCAGGAGTTTCATGCAAACAATATTATTGCTTAGACCTAAATCTTAGAGGTTCCATGAAATTTTCTTTCAATTCCATGCTGTATTTGATTGCATGGTAAATTTTATAATCTGTAAATATAGTATTTGACTTCTCCCAGTCTTCTACATCTTTCCTTTGTTTTACAAAATCATTATCTTTGAAGATGATGATTACTTAGTGGTCTGACTTTGGCTTATGCCTTCCAATGAATTGGATTGCATTACTTTTCTTCTTACAATTTCTTAATTGCTTTACATTCTACTTATAATAACAATAAAGCCATGTAATTAGCCTGAAAAATACGTGTAGTTACACAGCTTCTCTTGATCCCTGTTATCCTAGCCTACTCTGCTTAATTAGTCTTAAGCAAGTAGGACTTGCTTGATTTTATTTTAGTGTTCTCAGACCTTGCTCTATGCAAGCACAAACTTTCCCTTGTATTTCATTTCATTTTTGTCCCATAATACACATTCCTCATTATCCAACACATGTCCTACATTGAGTCTTATTGGTTGTTCTCATATATATATTTCTTTTTCAAATTTTAAAATTAAATTAGAAATAAGCTTATTTTACATGTCAATCCCAGTTCTCTCTCCCTCCCTTCCTCCCTTGCCCCCCATTAATCCCCTACCCCACCTTTCTGCCTCCTCAGGGAGGGTGAAGCCTTCCATGGGCCAATTTCTTCAAAGTCTGTCATATCATTTGGAGCTTGGCCTAGGCCCTCCCCCATGTGAGATAGTATCCTTCTATGTGGAATTGGCTCCCAAAGTTCATTCATGTACTAGGGATAAATACCAATCCCCATAGATTGCCCAGGCCTCCTAATTGACACCCACAATCAGGGGGTCTGGGTTGGTCCTATGCTGGTTTCCCAACTATCAGTCTGGGGTCCATGAACCCCCCTTGTCCTGGTCAGCTGTTTCTTTGGGTTTCACCAGCCTGGTCTTGACCCCTTTGCTCATCACTCCTCCCTCTCTACAACTGGATTCCTGGACTTCAGTTCAGTGTTTAGCTGTGGGTGTCTGCTTCTGCTTCCTTCAGCTACTGGATGAAGGCTCTAGGATGGCATATAAGGTAGTCATCAATCTTATTATCAGGGAAGGGCATTTAACGTAGCCTCTCCACTAGTGCCTAGATTCTTAGTTGGGACATCCTCGTAGATTTCTGGATATTTCCCTAGTGCCAGATTTCTCTTTAAAGGTATAATGACTGCCTCTATTATCATATATCTTTTCTTGTTCTCCTTAACCTACTTACACAACTAATGAGTACAGAATACTAAAAACTTTGTTGACAAAATGGGTACTTATAATTCTTTACTAAAATGTGAGGCTAGAATGTATATTGATGCATCACTTATGAAGGAGAAGGTGAATACAGTGACTTTTTCAGTGAAGTTCAGAAACTGGCACAATTTCATATAATCTCAGAATTCTTGAATATGACTTGATTCTTCATTGCTCCCTACAGCTCAAATTCATGTAATATTCAATGTAAATTAAGGAATATTAGGACCTCTGCCTTTTAAGTCGATACACCATTACTTGGACTTTTGCTTGTTCTCCAGTGTTTCATGCTTGTAATTCCAAAGATTTCCTATCTTTTCATTGTAACCACTCATATACTTTATGTCTGCTTATCTATCACAGAGAGGCTGCAGTATCCGTGGTTCACCCTTCCTCATTGCACATTTTAAAATAACTCCTTGATATAAATAGTGCTTAGATAAAGCTGACCAAAAAATCAGGTCAGACATAAAACTGCAACCCTGTATTGCCAGATTGTTTCAATAGGAATCTATTTCAATGGGTTAGCTCTTTCCCTATATATTATAACTAATTTTAAGGTTCCTAATTCCCTAGGTAGCTACGTTTTAGATGAGACTTATGAAAAAGGAACATATCCTATCATACACTTCTGAGAGGAGTTTGTACACAAATATTTTCAGAATCTGGAAGCAAATGAATGTGTAAATATCAAGTATAAGACAGCAAGAAGTGACACTCTTGAAAAAGACCTAAGAATGGACCTGCACCTACTATACTCATCCTTCCTGACTCAATAAAGCACTTAATATGATCTTCCAATGTTCTGACCCTCCTGTCTAATGTTTCAATGATATATTTGAAAGGTATTTTGATTTATCTCTTCATTTTATATAAAAAATCATCAAATTATTTCCATATTTTAACATGGAATTTTGAGCAATCTAAATCTTTATTTCTTTATCACCTATATTTGGCTTCAGAATAAATTATTTTATTATCCTTCAATTGGGAGTTACATTTTTGCAACTACAGTACAGTATTTTACTCTATGGCAACTACCAGAAAAAAAAATTCCCACCACATTGTAACTGCCACTTACATAACCAGTGTTTTTTTTTTTATTTTTTTCCCGAAAAGTTAATATGATGTGAAATTCCTGTCACTTAAACTCCAAGTCCAGACTCTGCTCCCTAAGTAATATATCCCTGGATTTTATTCTTACAAAGTCTAATGTCTTGTGAGTTTCTTAGTAGCTAAAGGGGAAGATAATTCTTCTTTGTGCCCTCTCAAAATTGCAGCACACTATCATGTCAATATATCACAAATAAAAACCACTCAGTGAATTAATTAAGAAAACACTTGAAAAAGAAGGGGAAAACCAACCATTTATTGCAAATTGAAATGTATTTCATTTTGTATATGAGGACAATCTAATAAATCTAAACTGGGTTACATAATTATCTGCAGTCAGTGATTTCAGAACATATTTGTGTAATTGCATTATTAAGAAACTTTGATGTTTCTTTGCATTAATATTGATCTAAAAGCAGGTGGAGCTAGACATAAGCATTTATTCAAAAATAATTGTAAATTGTACCTTAACCTCTTCTCTTTAATCAAGATGGTACTAACCATATATGAATAACAACATTGAACTCTCTATGTAGATTTGCAGAGAGCTTAAAATTTCTGTGAAATGTTTTAATTATATTTTATGAAGGTAACTTATCTTTATGACATCAGCTTTAAATGCTCTTCTCACATTTGCAAATAATCAACTAAATGAATCTATAAGTTCTCATTTATATTGGTTGAGACACGAATTACATCACTATAGAAATGTATTTATTTAATGTAATAAAATTCCAGTTATATATAAACTTTGGTTTAGGTATCTATTGGATTTTATACAATTTTTCTTTTTATATAACATCATTTAGGAACTAGAAACAAAGCTTTCTTCTTTAGACTCTGCAAATAACACAGAGAAAAAGCTATTTCTATGACTTGTAAATTCAAATTTTATTTTTGGTAACACAGCCTGCAGTTAAAAATTGAATCACTCACCACGTGACTCACTAAGTCAAAAATGCCACTCCAAATCTACATACACTGACTCCTACATGGACCGTGTGCAATAGGCCTGAACAGTTAAGTGTGGACAGGTTTGTAATCACTAATTACAAAGTAGCTATTTAATGAGTGTATATTTTATTCTGGGCAGTACACAAAGTAGGTGAACCATGATATCACCTAATTCTTCATAATTATATTGTAGTTATTAATAAACCAACAAAAGAGAATGTGAAAGTGAATCAAAGGACAACAACTCTTAACTCCTGAAGTGTACCATACCAGCTTTCATTTCCTAGAAAAAGTCTCTCTCTTATTTCTGAAGATATTGTGATTAGATTTTATACATGTTAGATTCATATTTTTCTTTTA